TCAACCCAGCGCCTTGGCGACTGTGGTGAAGATGATGTCCTAGACCGGCGACGTTGTCGGAGCTGCTCGATGTTGGAGGTCTTCCAGATCGAGAGTACTGGTCTCCAGGTAGCTATCCATGGGTGACTCCATACTAGAAGTTTCGCAGCTGTTTGGAGGTGACATGAATTCCAAAGGTCTTCTCCAGTCAGGCTGCGACTGGAGATGACTTCATATTTTGGTGTACATGAAGGTGATCGAGAGCCAGCTCCTGCTTATCGAGGAACATCTTGGGTATCTTCCGCCCTGGTACTCGTATCCACGTCCTCTGTCTGGGCTGCGAAAACTTTGCTGATATGTGACTCGGTCGAAGTGACTTCACGCTCAACTGATGTAAAGCGCTGCCTTGATGGCACTGTAGGTTTCATTGGAGCAGAAATCCAATGTGCGTGAATCTTGAAGGATATAATTGAAGGCCTGCGATGAATTGTACTTGTGACAAAAGTGCAATTTTCAGGAAGAGACAAAACTTTTATCAAAGCTCATGGTAAATGAAATGAAACGCGAATGCAAAAGTCTTATGATAATTACCTCCTTTTTGGTTTGCTCTGAAAATGCTGGCGGAAACCAGAGAGCGGTTGTTCTGTCAACTGGTGTGAAGCACGTGTCCAGATGATAAAATTTAGGATGTATTAGCTCGCAAATAACAGTGTCAAACTTTCCCAATACTTTTAATTGCTCATAAACCTGAATTCAGGCATCACTTACGCAAAGCGTATCACATATCGCTCAAACAACGAACTTCTTTGGCAGATCGTGGACCATATCCAGCCCAAAGCGTGTTTCTGTCGGAAAATATGGCATCACCACCTCCTTCGAAAAATACCGGGTACTGATCACCAAAGACGCGAAGTTTGCAGGATTTGAACCACTTCCGGTAATGTGGTTGCTCTGCAGATCTGCAATGGCTAGTGTCATGGTCGAAGGGAGGAGTTTTCTGCGATGAACTGCTCAAAATTGACGAGAAAAAGGTTGAAAGAGAGGAACCTTCCCACATATCTTGAGATGGAGAGCACTGCACACTATATGAACGCCGCGGCGGCTGCGCTTTTGAGGAGGTTTCGTTTTTGAAGAAAATGGTCATGTCTTGGTCCACTACAAGACTCGAATAGAATTATCCTTCGGAAAACGCATTTTACGGTGTGTTTACATGAAGTAGGCAGCCACGCCCTCCCCAGCCCCGGGATATTTAGTGTAGTTTAATCTTATATTAATATTGAAACTGCTGAAGAAGCGCAGCAGTTCCAATCGATAGGTTCATCGCTCGTTGTTCGTTACCTCTCTTGTGTCGAAATCTGCTGAGATATACTCTGTTGTCAAGAACAAGACCTGAATGGCAGACGAATACCTGGTCGGAAAGCCCAGGGAACCGGTTCCATCGTCAGCACCTAAAAGCGCATTTCTTCCACCGGAAACAAGATTTAGATCCTTCATTCAGTCGTCAAACATGACAAAAAGTCGTCCTAGAGGGAGTTTTTTTTCGAAATTGCCAGTAAATCCAAAAGATCCTATATGAGTGGCTCCCATAATAGAGTGATCGTGAAGTGGACGACTTGGCTCGAATGAAGATTCCTTCTGGCCAAGTGTTGTTTTCCTCGCGTCCAGGACGATGAATCGAAAACTACTGAGGCTGCGTTCACACTTTGCGTCCACCAGCACCAGCGACTAGGAAGCTATTATCGAACTAGCGAACGTCAGCGTCCACCAGCGTCCACTAGCGACTGGGAAATATGGAAATCGATCTAGCGAACGCCAGCGTCCATCCGGGTCCACTAATGTCTAGCAGCGTCCACCAGCGTCAAACAGCGACCAGGAGTGGAGAGTAGGGGAGTAGCGGTTAGCAACTCAGTTGATAGAGTGGGAGAGTTAGGACGGGAACAGACGACTGGGTTAGGTCATGAAAACTGGCGGTGTGTGCACCGCACCGTACAACTGCTGAAGCACAGACTTATGCAGTTTAATGTATAGTATTTTAAATAACATAGCATCCAAACGCTGGGTGCTACGGATGTTCCAGACACCCAGTAGTTGCTAACGGACGGGAGCCACAAAGTATGAACGCGGTCTGAAGATTGCACGTTGCCCAACTTGTAGATTATCGTAGGCTACGATTCCGGGCCAAGGTAAGAGCTGATTTATCCTTCCACCTGGAACACACAGTGGCGATTGCAAAATGTGGGTAATGGGATGGCTATATGAATCTGTATACGCTAACTGATTTACCAGTGAAGAAGTACTAAAGGAATCCTTCTGCAACGTACTAAAAAAAAGCAATGCACAGCGAGGCAGGCGAAGGTCCAGAGTCAAAGGACAAGAGAACCAAAAATTGGCAGATATGGTCCCACACAGATCAAAAAAAACAGCGGTCCTAGAAACGTGGAGATGTTCGTCTATGGGTGGTGCCGCCATCCGGTGGGTGGTGTTACTACGGCGAGAGCGGGAGGGCGAACGCGCTTATCAGCCTTCGTGCCCGGGCTTCCTCGCACAACGAAAAGATCGTGGAGTGGGCCTTCAACGGGTGAATTGAACTTTCTTCATCGAGCTGGTTTTGACAGACAAACGCCATCATTATGAGCAGCTCGAACGCTGGGGTACTCACCTCTACTCCTTGTTTTTCGATAGCCGCTTTGAGTGCTTTCCATTGTTCGAATGCTTTACTCTCATCGATCTGTCCTCCAGTCCAAGGATTAATTTTATACTGAAGCTTTTGGAATCCATAATGGAATGATGATGGCAACAAAACAAAGATCAACGAACCTCGATGTTATAGTGTTTTGGGGGTACCATCAGCACTCGTTTTAATAGCTGACCAGCCGCTTGCAACATTTTTTCAACGAGAAATGAAGTCATGTTGTCTAATCAAAGTGCCACATCTGCTGCGGTGATAACGAGGAGCTCCCGTTAAAAGGAAAAATTATTGGAGAGCTTCAAAGAATGCGAGCCAGTCCGACATCTGAGTGTAAAAATTCAAAGGCCGTTAACGTGAGCGCAGGGATGTTCAGTCGTTATCAACGATTCAGTCGAGGTGTGTCACAGGCGCGTAGGTTTTGACAAGACGCCACCCCCTTTTCCACTTACTGAACGCCCGGAGCCGCAATGTTCGATGAAAAACGAGCTGCACCGTGCCTAAACTTATGCGCCGCTGGCACGCTTCAACTAAGTTCAGAAACAGTAAGGCAGCGTTCATACTTCGCGACAGCAGCGGCGATCGCGGCGATCGTCGGTACGTGACAGAGCGCGCCCCAACGCTATTACTTGGCTCGCTTTGATAAATAGAGAAATCCGACATATGAGACCTTTATTCTGTTGAATGGCTACTAACT